TTGTTTCTTTTCTTTCTTCATGACACTAAGAAGGAACTAACTAACAATTCCATTGTACAGTGGTGCTGAAGGTTTGTTGAATGTAATAATAGCTCCCCCTTCTGAGAAAAGCAGGGCTCTCTCTCAGCCATATGAAATGTTTTGGTACAGTGTAGCTGGGTTTCCTGTCACTGTGGGCTCCATGGCACAGTAGTAGAGTGCAGAGTCTGATACTGCAGCAGAGGAGATAATCAGATCCACTTCATTTTTATCTTTAGGAAGTATTATAGATAGTCTTGGGTCAGATATTTTAGCTTCAGTGACATGTCTAGTGGAAACACGAATCAACAGCAGAAACTCTGGTCTTGATCCAGGCTTCTGCTGATACCAGTGGAGACTGTAAGGTGATCCTTCATAAGTGCAGGACAGTGTGGTTCTGCTGCCCTCACTAACAAACACACTGGTTTCATTTGGTCTGATAGGGTCAAGACTTTCACCTACAAAGTAATGAGAATATTGACATATTTTTAGTTTTAGATTTAAAATCTTTTTGTATTATCCTTTTTAGATTTTAGTAGACATTATTTGAAATGTTATAATAAAATTGTATAACTTACCAATACTGGCAACAATCCCGAAAACAGAGAAGAAGAGCAGCATGATTGTTCTGTGAGTTCAGATCTCCACCATTAGACACTAATAGCAGTGTTGTCGCTATGTTGTTGGGTGTGCTGAATCTCACCACTTCTGTCTCCACCCACACATAGTTTACAATTTGCATGCTCACTCATATGAGCTGTGATCTCACTTCATCTGATAATACAGTGATTGGCTTTTAGACCTTTGTGTTTTGATGTTAAATGATGCTTCACAGATGTATGTGTGGAATTAACCTATACATACTCAGAGTTTATTAGGTACATCTGTATTTGACCAGTTATTGACCATTTTATTAGCTACAGCTACAATAAAGGTGCAATTATCAGTGCAACACCACATCCATGTTGGTATCATTACAGTACTGAAAATGGTACACCACCCAAATAATGTTTAGTCAGTGGTGGTCCCATAGCAGTCTTCTTCCATTGACGAATGTGGTAGGGGGTGGCTAATAAACTGCATCTGTAGCACTCTAGCGAAAGGGCTACAGTACTCTCCAGTGAATTTTAGTTCCCCAAGTAAAGTATTTTTTACTGACAACTTAAGAAGCACTGAGTTATAAATTCCAATTATCAAACTGAATTTGTTTCAGAAATAATCGATTGATACAGTGTTTAGAAAATTGGTAATAATTTCTCTTTATGGACCAAGAGTTTGACCTTCCAGGCCAAAGTGCAGCAGTGTTGACCCTCATCTAACACTGAATTCAGTTCATGAAGGCCTTGCTATTTAGCTGAAGAGCTAAAACAGTCTTTACAGGTAAAAAGGGAGATGGCTCCCTCTATTGGAAAAAAACAAGGCTCTGCTTCTTTCAGCACACAGCTTGTTTACATCTAAGTTTTATTTTGTACAGCAACTGTATTGTGAACAACGCTAGTACTAGTTATATAGTTCTAGCCCACTTTTCAGTTTATGAAAGAATGCTTGGAAGTATACCACTAGTAAACATATAAATATACTGTTAATTTACTAGCTAATTCGTCCATTTTTCAGTTTATAATGTATTCTTTAGGTATTTAACTATACAACATCTAAGTTTTATTTTGTACTGCAACTGTACTGTGAACTATACTAAAAGTAAACGTGAGGTATACTGTTAGTTTAATAGTTATATACTGTGGCAGCGGCCTGGGGATTGACCGAGCCAGTCTGGCTGAGAGCCCACACAGGCCTAGAGATACACACAGACACACCAATTTGGGTACAACACAAAGCTCTTCATTTACAAATTAGTGTGAAAACTAAACAAAATTTCTCTGCTTCTTTCAGGGCGTTTATACACAACTGGTTCAACTTCTATGTTAATTTCCAGGTTTAGTGAGTGTGTTTGAAAATATGGCTGTAAGGAGACTCTATGATCTTCTGAGGGAGTTCTTCATGCCACAGCCCTCCACAAGACTGTATTCCAGAGTGATATCTATGAGTTCTTCAGAAGAGAAGAATGTGGGGGTTCTATAATTGTTGCATAAAACAGCCAGCCAGAACTTCAGCCAACCTTGCATAGTTCCCACCCCTCCTGTAGTCATATAATCTCTCTTCATAGTATATCAATATGTTGATGGTGAGGTCTAAACTTAAACTCCAATTTATCAACCATTTTTTCTGTACATCAAGAGAGCAACACCTGGCTGGAAACCCAAAAACAAAACCACTTTACCTCATCACACAGACAGTTTTTGTACATTGTTGCTGGGTTTCCTGTCACTGTGTGTTCCACAGCACAGTAGTAGAGTGCAGAGTCTGATACTGCAGCAGAGGAGATTATCAGATCCACTCTTTTATTCTGAACCTTAGCAGAGAAGCCAGGTGGTCGAGAATCACTCAAACTCCCAGATTCAGTTATGTACAGGAGAAAGTCCAGTTTAGATGAGGGATATTGTCGATACCACTGAATACTGTACACATCGCTGCTGCTGTAGCTGCAGGAGAGGGAAACACTGTCGCCCACTGAAACCTGCTTTTCAGTTTCCAGTATATCAACTGTATTTGAATATACACCACCTAAAATAAAATAGAGCAACTTTTTACAAACATGTCTGGTCACTAAATCTAAAATCACTGTAATGGCTATTCTTTTTAACTTTAACATATGTAATGCTATGAAATGTTATGTAGAAATTATTAAATGTACTGTGTATGTTTTATACTCACACACCTATAAGCAGTAGCAAAATAAAATGAGCAAATGACAGCATGATGAGAGATCCTCTGTGGTTAGTGGCAGACTAGGAACATGGCCAACAAAGAACATGAAATTCACAAAGCACATCCATCGATGTCTCAGAGCTCCACCTCCATGACCACTGCTTCTAAAACTTTTCTGAATGTTGATGTTATGTACAGCATGTTTAAATAATGAATGTGAAAGGTGATGTTATTTCTCTTTTCAAATATTATGTCAACATCTACTTATTTAAGTACTTGCAGCCAGATGTATTTCTGCAGACATGCCAGACCATTACATTAGCATACTGAACCCATTGTTATCTTTTTTCCCCCATTTTTTCATCAGTCCATCACAGGGCTGACACACAGACATACACTTTCATAAACAGGGGCAATTTAGCATCTCCAATTCCCCTGATTGCACATTCTTGGACTGAGGGAGGAAACCAGAGCACCCAAAGGAAACCCACTCAAACCTGGGGAGAACATGCAAACTCCAAACAGAAAGGACTCTGGTTGCTCAGCCAGGGAATCAAATCCAGGCCTTTCTTGCTGTGAGGCAAACTGTTTATATCACGCCCAAATTTATTTATTTATTTATTGTCTGTGATCATCCACAACCTAACAGATGAAATGAATGTTCCTCTTATCTTAACAGTAATTTTATAACCATTATTTATACAAGTTCCTTCATTCTGTTGATACTACTTGAGTGCTAAAAGCTCTTCTATGGAGAACATTGAGCCTGCTAAACTGTGATTGTGAGCGTAAGGGTAGATGAATGAAAATATATGACAAAACAACTGGACAACATATATTATTTGCATCAAGCATATCAACTTACAGATGAACAGCACAAGACAAACTAAACCAGAGGTTCTCAACCTTGTCCACCTCAAGGCCCACCTGTTTATCACTAGAAAGCATGAAAAAAGTTTTTGCTTAAAATATAATTTTTTGGGAAAATTTCAACACAATGATATGTGAGGGCCTACTCTTGCAATATGTGATATGTATCAGTGAACCTGAACTCTCTGCAGAATATTGGCATGAATGGACAACTTAAAGGTCAGTTTCTAGAGGCAAAGGGCAAAAACATTGACAAAGCTGCCTTTGTTCACTGTTATGTTGGGGCTTGTTTTAATGTTGTTAACTGTACGAAAACATTGTATATTTATTTTTTATTGTTAAGTAAAATTTTTTTACACTGATTTTTTTGACAAAATGCCATCACCGGCCCACTATGGACCACTGACCCCTCTCAATATAGGTTCAAGGAACACCAAGGGGTGCTTTGCCGCCCACTTGTGGTCCTCGGCCCAGTGGTTGAGAAACCCTGAACTAAACTCCCATTAACAACTAGCCTGGTTAAAAATATAATCTTCACAGTATTTTACAAATAATATAAAATTACCACATGGAATTCCCAAAAATAAGAAAATGCAAGTCTAGAAAAATCATGTTAATATATAGACCTTTAGCCACATAGCTAGAAGATCATAACCAGAATAATCAAAATACATATCACAGTTATAAACCAGACTAGTAACTTAAAAATACTTCAGCATATAATTGTAACAGGTCTTTGGAGACAATCACCAAAACTGGCGTTTGTCCTGCTTAAACATGAATTTTGTCTGTTTAACATTTTTTTAAACAATTTTTCAACACAAGTTCTCTCAAATGGATTTAAAAGTAGCCCATCAGCTGGAGGCTTTGTTACATTATCCAAGTTTACTGAACCTCCTGCCTGAAGTGTTTCACAGGAGAAAATGTGGCCAGTTGTTTTAGAACAGTGTGTCAATTTTGCATGGCAATGGCCACTCTATTGGTCAAGTGTGTTTGCTCCAGCACCCTAAGCCAGCTATAAGAGCTAAAATAAAGCCCTATAATAATGTTTAATAGATACATAGAGATTAAGATCATTATTAGATGCTAACAAACTCTCTGGAGCCTTAGCATAAGTTCTTTGTTAATAAGTGGAGATTGACACTGTAAAAGTCATGACAGTCACTATAGATATATTCTTTTCAGGCTTTAAAAGCAGATTAACATCACAACCAGTTTGACTTGGTGTCATCAAGGGTGTTAAATTTGAAAATAGCTCCCCCTCCTGTGAAAAGCAGGGCTCTGCCTCAGTCATATGAAATGTTTTTGTACAGTGTAGCTGGGTTTCCTGTCACTGTGGGCTCCAAAGCACAGTAGTAGAGTGCAGAGTCTGATACTGCAGCAGGGAAGATCTCCAGATCCACTGTATTACTCTCTTTTTGAAGTTTGATGGACAATCTTGGGTCAAGCTTTTCAGCCTTATTGACAAGATTATTGGACACAAAAATCAGCAGTAGAAACTCTGGTCTTGATCCAAGCTTCTGCTGATACCAGTGGAGTCTGTAAGGTGATCCATCATATGTGCAGGACAGTGTGGTTCTGCTGCCTTCACTGGAAAAGATGGTGGTTTCATTTGGTCTGATAGGGTCAACACTTTCACCTACAAAGTCATGACAACAGTATTACAATATTTACATTATTTTAGTTTTATATTGATTTAACACTTTGAAATAGTATGTTATACTATTCATTAGCATACAAGTATAGGACTTACCCAAACTGGAAACAACCATGAAAACAGAGAAGAAGAGCAGCATGATTGTTCTGAGTGAGAGTTCAGATCTCCAGCATTATCCAGCAGTGTTGTCTGATGTTCTTGTGTTACCACTTCCAGCTCCACCCACTCGTAGTTCACAAACTACATTCTCACTCATCTGATCTCATTTTATCTGATAAGGCAATGTTTTGCTTTAAAAACTGTTATGGTGTTACATGTGTGTCTGAATTAACATATGCATACTTAGAGATTATTAGTATACCTGTCTTGAACATTTATTGACCATTTTATCAGGTGCATATTCAGTAAACGTGCACAAATAACAGTGCAACACCCACTACCATGGTGGTATCATGCTGAGAATGGATCACTAGCCAAATAATATGTGGTCATGGGTGGTCCTACAGCAGTCCTTTTCCAATGATGGGCGGGATAAAGCGGTGCTAATAAATTTCACAGCAAAAAGATCAGTAACAGCAGCCAGAGGAGTGTTAAGGTGATTTTTTTCACAAATGAGAATTAACAATCTATAAGTCATCACACACAGCTTCAGGAATAAAGGGGAAAATGATGTGAAATGCCCCCCCTTAAGACTGTAAAGCTAACTATATATGTGCTATTTGTGATAATAATTCCACTCCATTATAATAAATGATGACAAAAAACAAAAAATGCTAAAACTGAAACACTTGAAATGTCAATTTAGTTTATTTATTAAATAATTGTCATTATATTAGTTACAAAATTATAATGTAAATTAATTTACATTATTTGTATTATTATTGTTATTATTGTTATAGCAACATCAACATCAATAACAATTTAATAAAACCATAACATTCAACATTTAATCATTAATTGTAAATGAGTACAGCATAGATCAGGTGTGGATTTAACTAATAAGCTGAAAAATCTTCAGCAAGATGGTGAAAATATAAATGGTTACATTAATATAAATTACATGCTTGCTAGCCAGTGAAACTCTAGTGAACTTTTTGGCCCCCTTCATCTGATTACGAGAAAAAAAAAGTGGGCAGGATATGTTACCCCGAGCTGGGGGGCGGGCTTCTTACCCAAGTCATGGTATCCATTAAGATTTTAGTTTCAATATTAATAAACTGAAATGTATCTTTTCAGACCATTAGTAACAAAATGATTTGTCGATCTTAAAAAGTAGATTAACATCAAGGACTAGAATGTACAGAAAAAAAGACATTTAAATATAAAAAGAGAAATAGCTCCCCCTATTGAGAAAAGCAAGACCCTACTTCAGCCACATGACACACTTTTTGCACAGTGTAGCTGATTTTCCTGGTTCTACTCTCTCCTAGTTCTCAACTTCACTTAACTCTGATCAGTTTTAATCTCATAATGTAGTAGTTTCCTGGCAAACAACATGTTACAAGAGCATTTAAAGTAACATCCACGTAACACCACATGTTTTGGATGTTAATCATCAGTGCCGTTAGGGATGCTTGTTTAAATAATGCTAACATTTTATGTGTGATTGTTTTATGATCTCAGCTGGGGCTTAGAATCATCAGACATGTAGGTCTTGTTGCACAACTCAAACTGGGACATCTTGGTGAAATGCATTTTTTTTTTTTTAATGTGTCTCACTTTGCTGAGCCATTGGTGTTTTGACAGGATGCTACTGACTAAATGCCAAAAATGATTTGATGTTTTATTTTTAGGAAGTAAATAACCTTTTTGAAATTTTTATAAATTCATTGAGCTTCATAAGTTAACAGGACAACAATCTGTTTTACATTCTGTTAACTGATTAAAGTTCAATGAATGCAAGATTTAAGCAACAAGGTTACATAATTTCTAAGTCAAAACACTGAATCATTTTTCACACTGTGACTAAAGAGATGTGAAAGTATGATGGAGATCATCACTAGAAATTAATGCACATTGCCTTTTCCCAAAATCATGTTTGTATGAAATTTGCAAGTTGTTATTTTGCAAAATGCAGTGATCATACCTGTTTTACTCTGAAGCTTTAGATAAATGATTATTGTTCTTTGACAACGTCAACATGACAACTTATTTTGTGTAACTGTTGAGATTTGTTGTGGCTGTTGTGTTCTGCACAACAAAAAACAAATCATATAATTAGAATTTTCTATATTTCTGCATAAATTTGACCTAAAACTTCATCACATTTTAACACAAGTCCTAATAGTAGTAATAAAGAGAACCAAATAAAAAAGACAAAAGTATTGGACTTGTTCATCATTTATTGAGGAAAATTATCCAATATTACAAATCTGTGAGTAGTGAAAAGTATGTGAACCTTTGCTTTTAGTCTCTGGTGTGATCTCCTTGTGCAGTAATAACTGCAACTAAACGTTTTGGTAACTGATGATTAGTCCTGCACATCAGCTTGGTGGAATTTTTGTTTTTCTGCTATTTTTCTGTTATTTTTATTACAATAATCTATACATGACCATGGAATATATAAATTAAATGACATAAAGAAAACAAATGCCAAATAAATATTATAAAATATATAATGAAAGTTGTTGTCCCCAGAAGTCATGTCACTGGTATTACCGCATAACAAAAAAACTCTTATTTTGAAATAAAAATCACACTAATGACATTACTTGACTTCCTTTTACCTATTTCTCATTTAGCTCATGATTTCATGTGAAGCTTTTAGTTGAAGTCACTGGTGTGACCTACTTTATTCTTAGGTAATTGTGAAAACATTGAACACAAATGGATTAAATTACATATTTCGGTTGAGATTCCATGATTGACAACATGTGGTTTGATGCTCTGTAGTAGCCATTTTGTAAAATGCATTTTTCATTAAAATGTCTCTGGTGTTACCTTTCTTATGTGTAACACCAATGAGGATTGGTAACACCAGCGACACCTGTGGATAGATAGTAAAGTGAACGTTTCTGTAGAATAACTATTATATTCGTGGGTTTTCTCCCATGTACTGCTTGCTCCAGGTCCTTCCATAACATTTCTATACGATTAAGGTCAGGACTTTGACCTGGTCATTCCAAAACATTAACTTTATTCTTCTTTAACCATTCTTTGGTAGAATGACCTGTGTGCTTGGGGTCTTTGTCTTGCTGCATTGAGTTTCAGCTCACAGACAGATTGTCAGAGAGTCCTTTAGAATTTGCTGGTATAATGAGCATGAAATGTTCATGGTCTCAGCCTGAACAGATTTACAGTGTGTAATCCTGAGACGATGAAGAGGCAGGATGCAAGTGCAAGTCCATTGTTTTACCAGGATCCTCAAATGTAACAAAACCATGAAAAGACACTAAATAACAACACTTAAACAAAAGCAAAACAAAAGACAAAGGGACATGAAAAGAACTAATGGGGACAACAAAACAGAGATATATATACAGGGTGATTAAAAAAGATTAATCTGATTTTAAAGTGCCATATTTTTACAACCGTGAGGCACCTAGGAACCAATCTCATAGCAATTGAATAAGGGTTGACTGTCACCGGAAGATGGCTCCCTTCAGTCTTCGAGGAGATGGCGACCCCTGAGCAAAAAGCGTTTTTGCGTTCTCCACCTCAATAAGAGTGAAGCCGTCATAACTGTGCTATGTGACTTTTGTCGGCAGTGAACCTACAGCAGCTCAGAGCATTGGTTCCACAACACTGGATGATCTCCGAAATCAAGTATGGGATGAATTTGACGGCGATGTTGTCTGTACAGCTGGAGGAGGATCATATTGAGCACTTGTAAAATTACATAATCATCTTTAAGCTCACTTAAACCAATTTCAATAATTTTGAAATAAGATTAATCTTTTTGAATCACCCTGTTTTGAATCACCATATATATATATATATATATATATAGAGAGAGAGAGAGAGAGAGAGAGAGAGAGAGAAAGAGAGAGAGAGAGAGATGTTGAAAGTGAGATATTTTACCATTTCATGAAAAAAAAATTATCTCATTTGGAACTTGATGGCAGCAACGCATCTCGAAAAAGTTTGGACGGGGCAACAAAAGACTGAAAAAGTGAGTGGTACTAATAAAAAAAAGCTGGAGGAGCAATTTGCAACTAACTCACATGACTGGGTATAAAAAGAGCATTGTAGAGAGGCATAGTCTCTCAGAAGCAAAGATGGGCAGAGGTTCACCAACCTGTGAAAACCTGTGTCTAAAAATTGTGAAACAATTTCAGAAAAATGTTCCTCAACATTTTACATTTACATTTACATTTACATCATTTAGCAGACGCTCTTATCCAGAGCGACTTACAAAAAGTGCTTTGTCTATCCAGAGAAAGAATCTTTGCTAGCTACCAATAGGTTAGAGAGAAAGACAGTCCTAAACTTAGATAATGCTAGAATCAGAAGGTCATTGACACCTAGAGAAAAAGGAACAGAGTTAAACACAGAACAGTGCAATACAATACAATACGTAAGTGCTGTACAATACATTACAATCAATACTTAATTTAGTGCTCATTTAAGTGCTGAATAAACAGGTGTGTCTTCAGTCTGTGTTTGAAGACAGCGAGAGACTCTGCTGTACGGACAGCCAGTGGGAGTTCGTTCCACCACCTGGGTGCCAGCACAGAGAACAGTCTAGATGTTTGCCTTCCGCGCGCTTTGAAGGATGGCGGGTCAAGCCGAGCTGTACTCGAAGCTCGAAGGGCTCGTGGTACAGTTCGAGATTTGACCATTGCCATCAAGTAGGGAGGGGCTGGTCCATTTTTGGCTTTGTAGGCAAGCATAAGGGTTTTAAATTTGATGCGTGCAGCTACAGGAAGCCAGTGAAGGGAGCGCAGCAGTGGGGTGACGTGGCTGAAACTTTGGGAGATTGAAGATGAGTCTTGCTGCTGCATTCTGGATGAGTTGCAGAGGCCTGATGGCCTGCATCGGAAGACCAGCCAAGAGCGAGTTGCAGTAGTCAAGCCTTGAGATGACAAGAGACTGCACTAGCACCTGGGTGGCCTCTCGAGAGAGAAAGGGTCGGATCCTCCGGATGTTGAACAGGAGAAATCTGCATGACCGAGTCGAGAATGATAACTGGCCATCCAGAACCACACCAAGACTTC